GGGAGGGAAATGCACGGGACTATGGTGGTGGCACAGGGGTGATTTGGTGATGGGAAACCCGCGGGGATTACAATCGAGATGGAAAAAAAATGTGCAAAATGATGTAAAAATAAACTTTTTAATTAAAAAAAAAAGTAGCATTCTCTAATATTCAACTTTCTAGGTAAGACAACTGAAAATAAATGTCAAGTTATTATTTAAATAATGAAAAATGGTAATCTTCGCTTAAAATTTTAAATATTTAACTACTCTCAAGAATACCTATATAATGCAGATACAGCTGAAGCCGCCTATGTTCCCATTTTCTTTCCTCCATTCTATTCCTGAGTTTGATTTTTACAAGTCCTGTGTATGTTTTTACATTTTCATATTGACATATTTATAATACATAGTATTGCTCTGCGTATTTTAAAGTTGGTGTCAATTGTGGAGACTACTACTTATCTTGGACATTTAGCTTACTTTGACTTTTTAAAATACTAGTATTGCTATAAATACTCTTGAACACTTATTATATATAATTGTACTTTCATCTAGGTTTATCTCCAGACTTACACCTGCCAGAGTGAAGGACATGACCAACCTCAACTTTACCAGAGCATACCAGAAGGTTTTCCCATTTATCCCTCCACAGAGGTTGAGTTGAGCTGAGTTGCCTCCTTTACTCAACCTTTGTGGGCATTTGGTCATGTGGAAACAGGTCAAGTTAAGCCATATAAAATAAACTTTGATAAACTAGTCACCCTGATCAGGAAGTTACAGCACTCACCCACCCCCCAGCGCTCGCTGCTCCTTTACAGTCAAAACCTGTCTCCAGTCTTTTGATTCCTGGCATCTGGTGACCTGTGTGGAATCTCATCCTTTCCAAGCATTCTAGAACATGAGTCTGTATTTCTTCACGTAGCATGATGCATTTGAACTTCAGTTACCACACGTCAACAGTCTGTCCCTTCTTAGAGTTGAATAGACTTCGTTGTATGGATGTACCACAGCTTATTTTTTAACAGCTGAAGAACATTTGACTGTTTCCAGGTTTTAAGTTTTATGGCTAAATTTGCTGTAACCATTTATTTTTTATTTTTTCTGGATATCCATCCAGAAGTCTGCTAAGAGATGCAGTAACTTTGTTTTCCATAGTAGCTGTATCATTTTTGCATCTCCATCAGAGTTGTTAGGTTTTTCAGTAGCTCTAGATGGGTCTCAGCACTTGGCTCTATCAGGTTCTAGCAGTTTTTCTGGGGGCTGCGGTAGGCAGCACAGAGCTTTCTTATTCTGGTTTTAATTGGCACTTTTGTTATGACTAAATCAACCTATTTTTAAACTGGGTTGCCTCCTTACTGTTGAGTTTTGAGCTCTGGATTAAAGTTTTCAGATAAGTAATTTGCAAATATATTCCCAGTTGTTGGATTTTCTTTCCATTTAAGATTCTCTGACAGAGAAAAAGTTTTAATTTTAATGAAGTGTGACTTGTAAATTTTTCTTTTCTGGAGTCTCCCTTTGATTTTGTATCTAAGAACTTTATAACAGAAAGTCATAAAGTCAAAAGTCATAAATATTTTCCCCAATATTTTCATCTAGAAGTTTTACCACATTTTTTATACTTATTTATTTATGCACAGGGTACTGGGGTACAGGCTGAGGTGCTGGGGCGGTGCTCCAAAGGCGAAGTGGGGAGCAGAACAAGCAGATCAATTAAGATACCCTGCTGAGGGGAGCAGCAGGCAAGTCAGGAGAGGTCTGCTGTGCCATGTGGGTCAGCTCTGAAGCCAGGGCTCAACTCGCACTGAAGTGGCTGGGCCAGCTTGCAGTGCTGCGCTTTAACCTGCTGTGCCACCAGGGAGGGTCACAGAAGTTTTATGATTTTATATTTCCTTTCAGGATTCATTTTGAGTTAAATGTTGTATAAGGAAAGCATTAGGTTTAGAGCAAGGTTTTTGTTTTTTCATATGGATGGCCAATCAATTGTTCCAGCACTGTTTGTTGATTAGCCTTTCTTCACTAAAACACTTTTGTTTATCTGTAAAAACTTAGCCAGCCACATCTGAGAAATGACTGTGGTCCGCGTCTGTTCTGTGGTTGATGCCGCACAGTCTGGTGGCATGTCTTCTATTTTTGTTCACTTACAAAATTGCTTTGATTCTTGTAATGTCTTGAGTATTATTACACTTTAGAAATAATTTGTTGATGTTTACAAAAACGAACCTGGGATTTTGGTAGGGAATGTGTGCATTGAATGAATTTTAGAAGAATTGACATGTTAATATTCGGTCCATCATATATCTCCATGTAATATTTAGGTTTTCCTGAATGTTAGGGTCTCC